AGTTTAGTCCCTGTCAAATATTGTCCTTCAATTGCTGTTTCAAGTGAGATCTCTGAGCTGCTGTTTTGGGGAAGATAGGCTGTGAAGGCAGAATCCCAATTGGTCTGCTGACAGAAAATTCCGCCTGTAAATGCTGCCATCTAGTGTTCACTTCATAAAGCTAGAGACATCATTTTTCCTGTCAACAAGGATTATTTTAATACCGTTTCGTTATTGGATCCCAGGCTTTGGGAAATTTTGATAACCAAAAACAAACAGAACTTTTGGCAATAATGAGGGGGTAACTGGGGAATTGGAGAATTAATATTGATATCCCCATTTTATTTTTTTAAAGACTTTATTTATTTATATATTTTTAGAGAGATGGGAAGGGAGGAAGAAAGAGAAACATTGATGTGCAAGAGATACATAGATCAGCCTCTCACACAGCCTCAACTGAAGACCTGCCCCGCAACCCAGGCATGTGCCCTGACTGGGAATCAAACCTTTCGGATCACAGGCCGGTACTCAATCTACTGAGCAACACCAGCCAGGGCTGCTACCCCCATTTTAGAGATAAGAGAATAGAGTCTTGAACTGTTTAACTTGCTTTCTTTTTTGAAGCTAGTTGAGGAATCAGGATATGCACCCTGACTCTATGCATTTTCATTTATACCCCAGTATCTATTAAACTTTTGGAACTCCCACAAACAGCGCACAAAGTCTGGTTAATATCCTCATAGATTTCTATGTTGTCCTTGCTTGAGAATGACTGTACTAAAGAAACACAAAGCCCTCTGCATATTAATATTCTTGAATTGTACCACTGAGACCCAAGCCAAGACTTTCAAATATCTAAGTTAGAAACAATAGATGCTAAGTACAAATTAACTTGAGTCAACTTCGTAAGAATTAAACTATATAATAGTGATTTAAGGGAAAATGAACAATAAATAATACAATACTAACTTTCCCCAAAGCACCCTACATCCTTATCTTTATGAGAATTAAAACCAAATAACAGGCTACATTGTTGTGGAAATCATGGAGATATTATTTTTAATGATCTAAATTAAAAAATAAGCTTGTGTTCAATGTTGAAAATTGTTTTAAAGGGGAAAAGAAAACAATATAAAAGTAACAATAACCCCTTAAATCCAATCACATAATCTTAATATTCTGATGTATATCTAAAGTTTTAAATGCATTTTTGAAAGTATGTGTGTGTCATTTTTAAAGTAGAACATGCTAAACATGTCGTTTGGCTTTTTTTAAAGCAGATGTATTGGTAACGGTTTTATGTGACACAATTAATTTTTTAATGGTTGCTTTGAGTTCCGCTTAATGGATAACCATGTTTTATTTAACAAGATTTTTTATGAACATTTAGCTTGTTTCAGATTTTTACCAATACAAGACAACGCAGGAATAAACAACTGCATACTTAAATCTAACATGTATCACTGTGTTAACATTCTGAGGAAGATAAGCAGTGAAAAACAGTGGTTTTAATCAAGAATCTTGAAGAAAGCAAGGGGTGCTGCCAAAAAGGTACCAGTAATGGGAAAATAACAAATGATTGATTAGACCAAGCTCCAAACCTGTACAAGAATTAATCCTCATGTTTTTAATACTCCAAATGAAGTTGACAGAAATTGCTTTCTCAGAGAGGGGGCTCTGACTCTACTGTGTGCCATTATGGCAAAGTGCGAAAGAATCAGGGTGCTGCCTAGGGTTAAGAATAGCAAATTAAATCCTTAAACAAAGGGAAAAATAGAAAACCAAGTAATATTTCTAGACTGACCTCCCAAACGCATGCAGAGATAAGAATCTGAGGTGAAGCAGAGATAGAATACCCCGTGAACTAGGGTTCTGGAGTAGGGCGGACCAGTGTTGGAACCCCAGAACTACAAATACAAGAATTGGAATTTGGGCTGGGCACTTAAAATTCTTGACCCTCAATTTCCATTTTTCTCATTTTTAAGATGGGAAAGGGTAATAATGCTTCTCCCTCAAAGTTGTTAGGATTAAATGAAATAATGTGGTTTTCATGCAGAGTAAAGTGGTTGCATGAAGTGCATGCTACATAACTGGCAGCTATTAACCAGGAAACAAAGTCTTGTCTAATCAGGGGGAGAGGTCACATGGTTCTTTAGCCTCAGAAGCTGGAAATAGATAGAGCTCAATTCAAAAAGAGAAGAGTGCATGGGTCAAAAAAGGGACTTGGTGACGGACAGTGGTGAGGGCCAGGTCAGAGAAGGTGAGATCCCAGAAACCAGGATGACACTTGTGGTTTGTGAAGGACAAGGGAAGGCATGAAGGAGCACAGCCAGGGACTGAGTCTAGAAAGTATGTCCCCAACTGGAACGCCTCTAACTCCTCTGGTTTTCCTAACAGTCTCAAAGCTATAGAGCTACTACTTAGCTCCTTCTACAGGGATTTCCCTCTTTCCCCCTCTGAACGCTCTCTGGGTTTAGCTTTGTTAAGTTCCATATTAGAAGTTAGAGGAATCTTAGACTCCTTGGGAAAAGGTTGGCAGCTCTCTCATTCATTTCATCACATTTAATCCATCACCATACCCCAAGGATCCTACTTTCCAAGTGTTTTGTGAATATATACACTTCTTTAAATATTTTTAAAAATTTTAAAAAAAAGATTGATTCTAGAGAGAAACAGGAAGGGAGAAAGAAACTTCAATTTGTTGTTTCACTTATTTATGTGTTCGTTGGTTGAGTCTTGGTGTGTGCCCTAACCGGGGATCGAACCTGCAATCGTGCTCTAACCAAGTGAGCTACCAGGTCAGGGCCACACTTCTTTAGACCTTCACTTTCACTACTATAGTTCAAAATGTCTTCATCTTTTGTTGGACTCTTGTGATCATCTCCTAATTGGAGTCTTCACTTCTCCTTCTACCCATGCCCTCCTTCATTTGTAGATAGATGGACACTTTATTATAAAAACAAAAATATCAAATCTCTCTCTTGCTTAAAAACTTCAAATAATACTAACAACAGGATGAATTCATAGTTCTTTAACATTGCCCACAAAGCCTGTATGACCTGAGCTTTGTTTCCCCATACTCATATTGGCAACATTCCTCTTCACTTATTAAGTCCTCTCTGCCAACAAGGCTCATTCCATGAGTTTTCACCTGACCAATTCCTCCTTATCCTTCAGGTCTCTAATTGATTTGTGACATTCACTGAAATGTACTCAAATCTTCCAAACTAGGTTTGGTCTTTCTATTTTATGTTTTCATAACACCTTGCACTTTGTCATGCATGCCCTTATCACAACTCTAATCAAATAATAGTTTAATTATTCTTGAATATCTAGTTCTTTGGGTTGACTGTAAGCTCCCTGAGGACTTATATCTTATGGTCAAAGCTACAAATCAAGCACATAGTACAGTTAATAGCAATAGAAGACACTCAATAAATAATGTCCTTGATTATCCATATTTGCATCTTTGATCATATGTTTGTATATGTAAATACTAAATATATAAAACAAACACAAAAGAAATTTAGATAATCTCCTGCATTCTGTGGTAGTTGGAGGTTGTTATTTGCCTATTTATCTTGTAGGAGACTCAATAGCTAAGAGACTCATGATAGTAAATTTTCTCCAAGTCTGACTCTGAAAAAAGTGGTTTATCCATACCAAAAAAAAAAGGCATGTAAACTATAAAGGACAGGGGAAATCAGGCTGGCTTTAGCAATAGCTATATCAAAATTCAATGCTAGAAGAAAATAGGATAATGGTGTACAGTGCGCACAGGTTAAGGAAAAAAAGTATAATGCAGTAAGGAAACATTCAGCAAGGTGTCTTGAGATATAAAAGAGTCAAGAAAATGAATGGAATCTCAAATTTCTATTTTCAGTTATGAAGGGTAGGTTATTCAGACCAATATGCCCACTGATAACAATTAAAGATGCTTAAATAAACTAGTTTAAAAAAAATTCCCAAAGCATCAAATTGCTGATAAGACAGTAAGGAACTATTAGGCCAAAAGCTAAGAGGAGGTGGAAACTCAGAAATGCACATGGGGCACAGGGGCACAAAAGCTACTCTTGCACTGAGGATATTTTCTAGTCAGGGAACATCAGTTTTTGCTTTTCATAGCTTTACTGGGCATGGAAGGACAGCCATGGTCCAGGGCTACCCAAGGTGAAAATGCTCTTCCCATACTAAGTTGGGAAATCTTAAGGATGAACCAGTACCCCAGAACTTTAGAAAAGGTTATTTTTACTTTGACTTTAACAGGAGAAAAAAAGGAAAAAAGAAACCCAACTTGGAATAGATGTAATCGCTGAGTGGCTCTTGATCTTTTTTGTAACCTGCGTAGGCAATGACCAAAGGAACCACAGGCCATGAAGACTGGTCTCAGACTGAGAAGGCCTCAAGGCACCTAGCAGGAGCAAAAGAATCCTCTTTGGATAAAACTACAAATACTTTTCCCCACATAGTTTTTCAAGGATAAGGAGTGAACACACAAGGAAACTAGACACCATGGATCACACACAGAAATATCAGGCAGCAGAAAGGAACTTGAAAATTGTTACGTTCCCCGCTGTTCGAATTACTCCAGGACACAGGACTTTTCGCAAGCGCTTTATTAGTTGGCCAAATGAACCTGCACAGGGGCAGACCCTCCACCTACGAAGGGCGCGCCGCTGCTAAGGCACTAGGGTTTTTATACATAAGCAGAGCAAGCAAGCAGGATACAAGGGCGAGAAGTGGCAGTTAGCGATAGGCTACTTTAGGCAGCTTCTTTTCTGCTGATTGGGTTCAAGGCTGTTACTGGGCCCCCCTACTCTGTCTTTCTCTGGTCAGGATGTTTATCTGAGGCAAGGCTCAACCGTTGCCCTATGCCTCCTCCTCATTCTTGTCGACTCTGGCCCAGCTGCATGGGGGCTGCACCCTGATATGTTTTTCTTGGTATTAGTTCCTCCCTTATCCTCAGCTTTGACCCTGCTCTCACGGCTCCCTCATTCCCCCCTTTTCTTGTTCATACCTTGTCAAACCCTTGACTCAGTGTCTTCTGCGGCCAGCAGAGTATAGGGTTGGGATAATACCATTAGCTTAACAACCTCAATTCGGTTTCGCACAAATGCCACTAGCTTATTCAGGATTAGAGGACCAAACAACAGGATCAGCAGAAGGATTAGAATCGGTCCTGCTAACGCTGAAACCAAGGTAGTCAACCAAGGTGAGGCTTTAAACATGGAGGCATACCAGGAGGAGTCACTCTCTTCACTATCTCTTTCTTTTAACCTACGGGTTAAGATTTTGATATTTTCCCTTATTACTCCAGAGTGGTTTGCATAAAAACAACATTCTTCTCCTAATGCGGCACATAGTCCCCCTTGCTTCAAAAACAGAAGGTCTAACCCTCGCCTATTTTGGAGGGCCACCTCTGCCAGTGAGTCTACTTGCTTCTCTAGATATATCACCTGCTTCTGTAGCAGGGACACATCCTTGGAGAAGGTCTGCGATAGCTGCCTCAGGCTCAATTCTCCCTGTACAAGGGCACCTGCCCCTAGGGCAGCAGAGCCTACTATCCCAATTGTGGCTACGACGGGAACGAGCAGAGGGACCCTCTTAATTCGAGGGGAAGGTTGTAGCAAGAAGTTGGAATCTCCCCCGTATAGGTAGACTTGAGGGATGATGTATGCGCTGACACAAATATCAGGGTTTATGGGGGCTATGCACTTCATGACTCCCCTTGTACAGGCAAACCATAGTCCCTCCTGAGCTTTCAAAACTTCGGGTTCCTCGTCTTGTATGGGGGTCTGTTCCTGCATATACACATAACTGGTACAATAATTTTCATATAATGAGGAAGAGAAATTGGCCAAGAGATAGCATGTCCCTTTTCCATGAAAATCTGCTAATTTTAAAGTGGTCTCCTGGTGACACTCTGGCATATGATACGGATAATTATCCTTGGTCACTTTGATGGGCTCTGAGGAATTCTCTGTGGTATTTGCCCCTACCCCAATATAAAAGGGTGGACGGGGACTGAGACATAGCCAGCACGACTCTGTCAGACCGGGCTGGGTCTTGTTTAAATAGGGGAAAAACCTATCGAGGAGGTCTAAGGCATTTGCCTCCTGCTTGGGCGGCTTTCTCTGTTCCATAGGCCAGGGTCTGTCTGGTTTTGACTGGTTCCATCCCTCACTAGGCCCCAGGAGACTATTGTAGTCAGTCCTATTTCCTGTGCTATTCCCAGAATCTCTCACGATGGAACTTTCTTCGGGGGATGCCGTGCCTGTAGGAACAGGCCGGGCGGGCAGGGGTAGCCCTCCCCCTATGCCTCTTAGCAAGGGTCGATTCACTAAGGGTATTCTGCGAATAGTAAAAAAGGTTCCCGGGTCTGTCCCTGATACGTAGAGCCGGATACCCCAGGTTCGGCCCTTCGTCCATTCAGGGTCCTGGGGTTTCAGGACCGTGACTACAACTGGGTTGCAATTGTCTAGGGCACAGGCGTTATTCCACCCAGAGCTGGGCTTCATAGTTTTGTTGCGGATCAAGGCTATATGGGGGTCTTTGCCCCCGCCTGGATTCCAACCCCCGTCCGTGAGGGTCTCGCAACCCCAAGCTTTACAATAGAAGTCTGAATAGGATCCGCAGGTCCGCCTCCTCCCCGGGGGTGGCTCAGGGCAAGCATAGTAAGGGGTGTACCATAAAGCCCTATTCTTGGTGTTGGGGTCACAATCAGTTAGGCCTATTGTATAGGCAGAGGGGAGATTGTCCTGGAGGGGGCCCTCCGCGGAATCAGTATGTCTCCATGCTGCTGGGGAGTCACAAAATTTGTCATCAAAGAATTTAGAGAAATCTACCCTAAAGGAAACAATCCTCTCCCCCCAAGTTTGATTCTTTGCAATAACAGTTCCATCTTTTGTTCGTATTAATAACACCCACTCGCCACTCGCGGGGTTCATACCCGTTTACCTCCTTCGATAGTCCAGTCAGTATTAAGAGCGGGAAAAAGAGAGTCTTAAGGGTTTTTCTGGGTCTTGCCGGACGCTCCATGGTTTCTTTTCCCCAGGATCCTGCGCGAGTTTTACGTGGGATATGTGTATCCAGTAGGGTTTTTCGGCTACTCGAATAGCCGATGGGGTGCTCAGCAGTACCTGGAATGGCCCAATCCACCGGGGTTCAAGGTTTCCTCGCCAGTGGTTCAGGATCCATACCCATTGTCCAGGGTTTAATGTCCTCAGTTCGTTCGCGCTATCTGCCTCAGTCGTGGCCTGTTTCTCCTCCCGCAGGCGGCGAACCTCCTCTCTGATGACTTGCAGTGCCTGTAATGACTTGAGGAAATAATGGTTAGAGGCCTCTATCTCCTCTCTTGTCAGTCTGGGCACCAGGGGCACTGGCTGCCCATATATGATTTCATAGGGGGTCCAACCCCCTACATAAGGGGTACATCTGACCCTAAACAGGGCGAAGGGGAGCAACTCTACCCAGTTCTCGCCGACTTCCTCCTTCAATTTCATTAATGTTTCCTTTAAAGTTCGATTCATCCTCTCTACCTGTCCAGAACTTTGTGGTCGGTATACACAGTGCAATTTCCAAGTGATGCCTAATCTTCCCGCCAAATTTTGGGATATCTGTGATACAAAGGCGGGCCCATTGTCCGAGCCGATGGCCACGGGAATTCCATATCTTGGAATTATTTCTCGGACTAGAATCTTTCCTACAGTGGCGGCAGTTTCACCTTTTGTGGGGAAGGCTTCAACCCATCCCGAAAAGGTGTCAACTAAGACTAGCAAATATTTGTATCCTGACCTTCCTGCCGTCATTTCGGTGAAATCGACCTCCCAGATCTCTCCGGGGGTACTTCCCTTGTGCCGGATGAATCGTGGGCACTTCTGATTCTGTGCGTTTACCCTGGCGCATGCCTGGCATCTGGACACTACAGACTCTATGACCTCCCTTAGATTAGGAGCCCTGTAATATTTTAATATTAACTTTTCTAGTTTTCCCCGCCCTAGGTGTGAGCTCACATGCATTTCTCGGACCACATGGGTTAGCACTCCCTGGGGCAGGTAAAGCCTGTCATCCGGGAGCACTATCCAACCTCCTTTGTCTACCTTTCCCCCTAGCCTCCTCCCTTCTACTTCCTCTTCCTTACTATAGGTAGGCGGGGAAGGTAGCACTGGGGTAGGCACCATGGGGAGTACTCCTGCAGCCTCTTCCTTCGCTGCTCCCCTCGCCGCCTGGTCAGCTAGAGTGTTGCCCCTAGTTATGGGGTCGCTCCCTTTCTGGTGTCCTCTGCAGTGGATGATTGCCACCCTCTTAGGCATCCACAGTGCATCAAGCAGTTCTAGGATTTCCAAGCGGTTTTTAATCTCCTTACCCCCAGCTGTTAGCAATCCGCGCTCCCGGTAAATGGCTCCGTGCACATGGGCCGTCGCAAAGGCATACATGCTGTGTGTGTAAATGTTGACTGTCTTTCCCTCTGCCATCCGCAGGGCCTGGGTGAGCGCGATCAGCTCTGCCCTCTGGGCCGATGTCCCCTTGGGCAGTGCCTGCTTCCATACCACCTCGTCCGCTGTTGTCACGGCTGCCCCAGCATACCTGAGTCCGTTGTTTACGAAGCTGCTGCCGTCTGTGTACCAGGTTAGGTCTGCGTTCTCGTATGCCAGGTCCCGCAGGTCAGGCCGACTCCCAGTTACTGTCTCTAATACTTGCGGGCAGCAGTGAGTTACCTCTAACTCTGGTACTGGCAGCAGGGTAGCTGGGTTCAGGGCAGCTGTTTTGAAGAACCTTACAGCCGGGGGGTTAAGAAGTTGGGCCTGGTATTGGGTTAGCCGGGTGTTGGTCAGCCACCGTCCAGGCGGCGCGCGAGCACCTGCTCGACGTAATGCTCCCCAATCACTTGGACGTCTTGTCCGAGGGTTAACTTGCTCGCCTCTCTTACCAAGACTGAGGTGGCGGCTACAGCCCTCAAGCAAGTTGGCCAGCCTGCCGCCACCGGGTCCAACTTCTTGGAAAGGTAGGCCACCGGTCTCTTCCAGGGTCCTAAGGTTTGGCATAATACCCCCAGAGCCATACCTTGTTTCTCTGCTACGTAGAGGAAGAACGGTTTGGTCGGGTCAGGCAACGCCAGTGCCGGGGCCGAGACAAGGGCCTCCTTCAAGGCCTGGAATGCCTTTCGTCCCTCCTCTGTCCAGTTAAACTCAGTCTCTTTTCCCTTTGTCAGGTCATACAGGGGTTTCGCCAGCTCTGCATATCCAAGGACCCACAACCTGCAATACCCCACTGCCCCTAGGAATTCCCGCACCTGCCGCTTCGTGGCAGGTTCTGGTATTCCCAGGATTGTTTGAACCCTTTGGTTTGACAGTGTCCGGAGTCCTTCACTTAAGTTATACCCTAGGTAGCTCACCTTAGTGGATACGATTTGGGCCTTCTTGGCCGAGACTCGATATCCCAGCTTCTCGAGTTCCTTTAACAGGTCCTCCGTCGCCTTCCTGCAGTCCTCAGCTTGGGGCGCTGCCACGAGAAGGTCGTCTACATACTGTAGGAGTACCACCTCTGGATATCTCCTCCTGAATTCCTGCAAATCTTGACTGAGGGCCTCATTAAAAATGGTGGGGGAGTTCTTGAACCCCTGGGGTAACCTTGTCCAGGTATACTGGCCCCCTAACCCATGTTCTGGGTCGTTCCACTCGAAGGCGAAAATTTCCTGACTCTGGGGTGCTAGCAGTATGGCAAAAAACGCATCCTTCAGATCCAAAATGGAATAGTGTATATGGGTAGGGGACAGGGCGCTCAGAAGCGTGTAGGGGTTCGGCACGGTGGGGTGTATTGTCTCTACCCGTGCATTTACTTCCCGCAGGTCTTGCACTGGGCGGAAATCTAATGTCCCCAGTTTTTGTACGGGGAGCAACGGGGTGTTCCAGGGTGACTGGCACTTCCTTAGAATCCCAGCGGCCAGCAACCTTAGCAGATGCTTGGCAATTCCTTCCCTGGCCCTGGCTGGAACCGGATACTGCCTGACCCGCACTGGGGTGGCTGTACTCAATAACTGGACTACTACTGGCGCCTGACGTACTGCCAGTCCTGGGGGGTTGGTCTCTGCCCATACCCCAGGTATCTTTTCCCAGAGTGCCTGGGGAACTCCAGTGGAATGAGGCTTGGCCTCACTCACAGCTAGCAGGTACTCTTCCGACAGGGGAACAGTAACTTCTAAGCTGGGGTCCCCCTTCTCTTCCTCGGGTGTCTTGAACACTATGGAGGCTTGCAACTTTTGAAGTAAGTCCCTTCCTAGCAGAGGAGAAGGGGCAATCCGGTATAATCAGAAAAGAGTGAGTGATTGTCCCTTTTCCAAGGTCCGTAATTCTCGCACTTGTCCAAGGATAAGTCTCTGATTTCCCGGTGGCCCCTATAATTTTGGCTGTTTCCTTTTCCAGTTTTCCTTGGGGCTGCTTCAGGACAGAAAAGGTGGCTCCCGTGTCGACTAGGAAATCAACTGGTCTTCCTTCGACTGTCAAGGTGACCATGGGCTCCCGGGAGCCAATGCTTATGGAGCCCTGGCCCCGTCAGTCTAGGGTCTGCAGGAGCACCCCAGGGGTCCCCCTTAGCTCCTCTATCCCCTTCCTCTTGGGGCATTCCCTCTTCCAGTGCCCCTTCTCCTTGCAGATGGCGCACTGATCCTTCTCTAGCCGGGCTCCCCTCCTTTCTCTGTTCCCCCCACCGGGGTTCCCTCTGGGTGCACCTCCTTTCCTCTGCTCCGCTATCACAATTTTTGCTACTTCCCTAGCCTTCCCAACCTCTGGGTCATCCCTGTTGACATATACCTTTTGGGCTATTTCTAGCAGTTTACTGATATTCTCTCCCTCAAATCCCTCTATCTTCTGCAACTTTCTTCTTATATCTGAGGCTGATTGTGTTACAAAAGCTACATTGACGAGTCTTCTGTTCTCCCTTGCTTCTGGGTCTAAGGGCGTATATACCCTATATGCTTCCATCAGCCTCTCTAGGAATGCGCCAGGGGTCTCCTCCCGCCCTTGCACTACCTCACTTACCTTCCCAAAATTAGTGGGTTTTCGGGCTGCCGCCCTCAATCCCCTTAGGAGTGCTCGGCGGTACTGCAGGAGTGCTTCCCTTCCCCCGCTGGAGTTTGGGTCCCAATCAGGGGGATTCGAAGGCAATATTTCTTCCAGTTCCCTTCGGCCCCCGACTGTCCCCTCCTCTTCCCCCATGACTGCCTTCCCTGCCTCCCTTAAAATTCTTTCCCTTTCCTCTGAGGTGAACAGGGTTTGCAAGGTTTGTTGGCAGTCATCCCATGTGGGCTGGTGGGTCCTGAATATGGTCTCTAGGAGGGAGGTCAGGCCCTGAGGTTTCTCCGAGAAAGGGGGGTTTTGGTGCTTCCAATTATACAAGTCACTTGTGGAGAAGGGGACATAAATTAACCTTGGCGGAGCCCTTGGGGCGTCCAGAGCAGTTGGAACCTCTCGGAGGGGTAGCATAGCAGCTTCCTCTGAGCCGGGGCCGGCCCACTCCCTGCCTTCTCGGGCTTTAGCCTCCCCGCTGCTATAAGAGGTTCCACCCCGGGTGTGGGATGGGCTCATAACCTCCTCAGGTTGCCCTGAGGAATCTGGTACAGCTGGGGCTTGGTAAGGGGGTGGCGCGCTAACTGGGTCTAGAGGATCCTCGGGCCGGCTAGGCAGGACCGGGTACAAACGGTTTTCTTGGGCACCAGGGACCGGTTTTTGCTCGGCGGCTTCCACGCGCCTGCCTCCTACCGGTACCGCCCTAACTCCCTGTCCAATGGCAACGCACACTGCCCTGCCCCGCCGGTTTGCCCCCGCCTGCCCTTGGGCACATTTCCGAACATAGCCAGGTCGGTCCATGGCGATGTCCGTCCAGACATTTATATATATTTGCTGGTCGGGGTGGGGCACCACATAGGTGACCCTCTGGACTGAGAAACAGACTGGCAGCTGAAAGGTTCCCTCGGGCGGCCACCTGACATTAAAAGCGGGCCACTCAAGCTGGCAGAACGTCCTGAGAGCCTCCGGGTCCGGAGGCGGGCCCCCATACCGCTCTGCCCGCTTCCTGAAATCAGAGAAATTTTTTAGAATACAATCCAAGGGAGAGCCCTGGACCGCCCCTGTGGATCCCCCTTGGCCCATGTCTCCTTGTATCCGGATCCAAAGCTCGTGACCTACGAGGCTAGAAAGGTTAAAATGAGGCAACCAGCCAGACACCACACCGCCCTTTCACTCACACCATTCACCCTCCGGCCGGAGTCACACATACGGGTTTTTCGCTGCGCCAGAACCGAAACTAAAGTTTCCCTTTTCCTCGGCGGCTTCTAGCCGCAGCTCCTAGGGGCGTCCCCCTCTGTTCGGAGCCCCCTGGGTGGAGTACCGGCAACGTCTCGCCTACCACCTCAGGGCTTATTCGGACGTCCCCACTGTCCTAGAGAGGATCCTGTTTCACTTACCCAACTCCGAGCGAGCTGGCCTCTCGGTTCCTGGTCCTTCTGCTCCACAAAGGGAGATCTCGCTGGGGCCTCCAAAATGTTACGTTCCCCGCTGTTCGAATTACTCCAGGACACAGGACTTTTCGCAAGCGCTTTATTAGTTGGCCAAATGAACCTGCGCAGGGGCAGACCCTCCACCTACGAAGGGCGCGCCGCTGCTAAGGCACTAGGGTTTTTATACATAAGCAGAGCAAGCAAGCAGGATACAAGGGCGAGAAGTGGCAGTTAGCGATAGGCTACTTTAGGCAACTTCTTTTCTGCTGATTGGGTTCAAGGCTGTTACTGGGCCCCTCTACTCTGTCTTTCCCTGGTCAGGATGTTTATCTGAGGCAAGGCTCAACCGTTGCCCTATGCCTCCTCCTCATTCTTGTCGACTCTGGCCCAGCTGCATGGGGGCTGCACCCTGATATGTTTTTCTTGGTATTAGTTCCTCCCTTATCCTCAGCTTTGACCCTGCTCTCACGGCTCCCTCAAAAATAACTCAGACATTAGAATTATTATGATACAGATACAAAACAACTGTGACTTTTATGTCTAAAGAAATCAAATAATCCAAATACCAATTAACAGGAAATGGCAGAGAAACATGCTGAAATTCTCTAAGTATATGGCATCAGCAATATCCAGACTGGGGGAAACTACAGAGTCAAAGGCCCCAGTTTTGTCAACAGAACATTGTAAATTAGAGAAAGGTTTCAATGTTTTACCATTAAGAAGGGTGTTACATGGGGTGGGAGGGGTGTGTGTGTGTGTGGTGGGATTTTCTTTTTTTCAGATACTCTTTGTCAGATTAATTTCCCTTCTCCTGTTACTAAAAACCCCAGGTTCAGCTGCTCACTGTTCTAAAGCCAATACTCCAGAGACAAGTGGTGGGTAGAAAGGAAAGTTTGCTTTATTCAGGAAGGTGGTGGGAAAACCTCCAAAGACCACCTTCCAATTTCCAGACCAAGCAGAAGTGTTTTCAAGGCGAGGAAGAGAGAGGGGGAGCTCCAGGGAACTGAGAGAGAAGTCTGTTTCTTCAGTCACAGATAAAACTTTTTCACATGAGACTCCTGGGCGTAAGCAGCTGGTCTCAGCTATCTCGAAGACATTCTTTCCTTCTGCAAAACAAATCCATAAATTCTCCTGGTGACCCTGAAGTAATCTCCTGTTTGACAAAAAGTACATCAGTAAGTTTTGACTAAATTCATGAGAACAAAAGGAACTGAGAAGAAAAAGCTGTTAACATGTGAACTAAGGCCTGATTAAGAGTTAAATTATTTAATTCTAGGTGCCAAAAATACTAGGCATTATAATCACACGGGGCTTGGCTACACTCCTGGTTTTCCATGATGTATGAATAAGTTTTTAGTTTAATCATTTTTTTACATTTAAAGTGATCATATTTTCTCCATTAATCGGTTATTACCTTTAATTCCTATGTTAAAAACAACTAAATTGCTCACAGTGTAGTATTCTTTTTACATGGCACTAGTTTTGGTTAACTTTTAGCTTATGAGTTTTTGCCTCTACATTGATGAGCAGAACTGGCATACAATTTTCCTTCAATTTTACATTGAAGAACTTCTAAAAATTTTTATTTATTGATTTTTAGAGAAGAGAGAGCAAGAGAGAAACATGATTTGTTGCGCCACTTATTTATGCATTCACTGGTCACTTCTTGCATGAGCCCTGACCTGGGACGGAAAGCTCAACCTTCGGAGTATGGGGACCACGCTCTAATCAACTGAGCTCCCTGCCAGAGCTAATTTGCTATTCCTGTCAAGTTTTCCTATCAAGGTTATACTAGTCCTCATAAAAAGTTGAAGTGTTTCCGGCTTTTGTCTCCTTTCCCCCCACCTATCTGGATGTATTTGATTAAAATGTAAATCTTGTTTTTCCTGTGTTTAGTTGGACTTGCCAACGAGCCAGGGTGGTCTGGAGTCTGCTTTGAGAGATTTTGGACTACTCTTAAACTTATTTTTAAACTACTTTCTTTTTTTAGCTCTCTGTTCATGGACTAAGAAGTACCTCCTCTGGAATTCTCCATTCCGAAAGCACTGCAGAGGCTTCGGGCCACAGATCACTCACTACCGGCCTGAAAATAAACGGCTTTGTCAGCCGGTGAGCAGCCGAACCCCAACGCCCCTTCCCCCGGAAGCGATGTTCTGACGTCACCACGCGGCAGCGTCCCCATAGGACCTCAAAGGAACCTCTTGCATTGTGGGACACGCGAGCACACTCTCAAGTCTCATTTACTGCCCCCGGCAGAGCATCCGCACAGGTGCCTCGGGCACCTGTTTCTCCCTCCAGAAAAAACAGCTCTCCTTTCCGGGAAAAGGGGGATGTTCCCATTCCCGGAAAGCAACAAGATTCGAGGGAATGGCTCCAATCTAGGTGCCGCTAATGATAATGGGCCTGACCCCAGGCCCGAAGCCTGTCAGAGGCTCACGTGACTGTCTGATGCTACAGTCTTCCACCGAACCGCTCAAGAGGTCACGTGACTTTCGGTCTCCTGCGCCTTTGCTCTTAATAGTCGTAATATCTTCACAACCAAGTGCCTTTACCAGCGCTCTATTTCCCCACCCGCCTTGGTCCCCGTCCCTAGGTGCCTGTATAGCACACGGCTGTCTCCTGCAGTAAGTCTCCCAGACCCCGCTTCCATTTCTTCCTCCAGGTTGCAGAGATACGCGCCCAGCTGTCTGCCCCTCGTGGGCTCTGCAGGACAAGGTAATCCCAGAACTGGCGGTCAGGGGAGTCGGGACAGGCAATTTTCGCTCGCATCTGGTGAGACTGTCGCCGTTGATACCCAGAGGGTAGGAGGAAGAGGGGGGTGGTCACAGGCAGGGTGGCGCTCTTAGGGACTCTGTAGTGCGTCTGGTGCTCTGGAGAGATCCGGAGGTGGAGTGGGGACTCGTGTGTGCTTGTGGCACGTGAGGCAGCCATGTCGCCGTCATCTCTCTCCCTTGGACATTCCTGGGTGTGAGCTTGCGTCCCTTTCACCCCAGGCGTCCCACGAGCATATTCCCAACCTTAGGCAAGCCACATCAGCTTCCCCCTCCTCCGCTACGGCGTTTAAGGGTCTAAACACCGCTGCTTTCTGGATTTCTGCCCCCGACCAGGCTTAACTCAAACCTGCCCCATGGTTCATATGGGCATATGAATTACAAAGTATTCTCGGGTTTTTTTTTAGGTTTTTCGATACCCAGTTCAAAAAAATAGCTTCTTGTTCCTGCTTTCCATCCCCATCCCAGGGTAGTAGGACTAATCCACCGTCACTAGACGCTTCTTTCGTGATATCTGGCACAATTTTCCCTGGCTTCTCTTGTTGAAACACATGCTTACAAAATCTCAAAAAATATTTTCTCTGGTTATTAGGTTTGCTGTTTTATTAGAATATATTTTTTTCCCCCCTGGCTGATGTGGCTCAGTGGATTGAGTGCCGGTTTGTGGACCAAAAGTTCACAGGTTGGATTCCCTGTCAGGGCACATGCTTGGGTCCCAGGCCAGGTCCCAGTTAGGGACCAGCGAGAGGCAAAAGATGGATGTCCACGTTTCTCTTCCTCTCTTTCATCTTCCCTTCCCCTCCCTCTAAAATTAAAATCTTTAAATTAAAAAAAAAAAACCCTGTATTTTTCTTCATGTACTACCTTGCTATTACCAATATACAATTCCTATCTGATTTTTAGAAGAATAAGAACATTTTTATTAGCGTTAAGACCATTTCAAAGTGAAGTTGTCTCTGCTTCAGACATGCAACAGCGAAATTACTGTTTTAGCAAAATTAAGATGAGGCTGTTTGATCATTTCAAATGTCATGAATAAGAAAATTCTTGAAAATAAACACAAAGCTGCCCTGTTTATCTCTTAGCTAAGTTTAGCTTGTTGAAAACATTTTTTGAACCAGTCTAGCACACTGTGAAATACATTTTTATTGAATGAATGAATGGCTCCTCTTATGTGAGGTTCAGAGATCAAATGCATGATTTATCTGATCAATGCACATGTTAGTAGCCCTGTGCAAATGCTGTTTGTAGGTCTTGGATTAAAAGCAATGTTCTCCTTTAACTCCGAACCATGGAATAAAGCACTGTATCAGGAGTAATTACGTGGACGACCTCCTGCTCTTTCTTCATAGATAAGTAAACTCAATTCTAAGAAAGTACTCTCAAAACTTCTAATGGTAGGAGTTTTAGTGAGTTTTAAAAATCCAGTCTATTTTTTTAAATGTGTCAGTTTTTAATTAAATATTTTATTGTTTTATTATTAAATTCCAGTTTATTTTTAACTTAAGTTTGGTCAAAGGTTTTACAGTCATGATTAAAAAATTTAAATGTAAAAAATATATGGTGAAAGACCTGTTTTCTATCCTTGCAACCTTTCACTTAGTTCCCAAAGCACTCTATCCCAAAGACAACTAGTTGGGAAATTATGCATAACCAAGGAAATACTATATAAATATACTTGTTTTCCTACTTTTTTTAAACACAAACAGTAATCTAATATACACGATGTTCTGCATGATGCTTTTTTCTTTCTAAAATATGGATTCGTAATCTCAAAAAATTGACTAAAAACTATTAACTGCTGAATATGGTGCAGGCTTTTTGTAAAGCAGTCATCAAACTACTTGTCACACAGGAAATTATCAAACATGTTTGCTTCCTT